GTTTTACAACAGTGGCACCATGCAGTATTTGTCCTTTTGTGACTGAGATACTTCACTCAGCATAATGTCCTCCAGGGACACCCATTTTGAATAATATTGCATGAGTTCCTTGGTTTTGAATGCAGCATAGTATTCCATTGTGTGAATATAGCACAGCTTCTCTATCCATTCGTTCATTGATGGGCACTTAGGTTGTTTCTAACTCCTTGCTATTGTGAACAAAGCCGCTATAAACATGGGTGTGCATTTATCTGCTTGGATGTCAGTTATGGTCTCCTTGGGGTATAGTCCCAGTAGTGGAATTGCTGGGTCAAATGGAATCTCTCTTTGCAACTTTTTGAGAAAGTGCCATACCACTTTCCACAGGGATTGCACCATTTTACACTCCCACCAACAGTGAATGAGAGTTCCAATTTCTCCACAACCTCGCCAGCATTTGTTGCTTGCTTGTTCTGTTAAATTTTGCTATTCTGACTGGAGTGAGATAATATCTCATAGTTGTTTTGATTTGCATCTCTCTTAGAGCTAGGGATTTTGAACATTTCTTCATGTGCTTTTTAGCCATCTGAATGTCTTCTTCGGCAAAGTATCTGTTCATATCCTGTGTCCATTTTTCTATTGAATTATTTACCTTTTTCTTGTGGTGCTCAAGTGTTTTATAAATTCTGGATATAAGTCCCTTATCTGATATGTCATTACCAAATACTTTTTCCCAGTCTGTGGCTTCCTTTTTTAACTTGGTGAAGTTTTTGGATGTGCATAGGGATTTGATTCTTAGAAGACCCCATTCATCTATTTTATCTTCTCCTGGTTGTAGATTTTTCAGGATACTTGGAAGACTGTTTATGTTGTGGATTAGGACTTCTGGTGTTCTTCCAAGCTTTTCTTTAATGAATATTATAGTCCTTGGTTTTAGTCCTAGGTCCATGACCCTCCTTGAGTTGGTATATGGCGTGAGGTGTGGATCTTGCTTGAGTCTTTTGCAGATACTTTTCCAATTTTGCCAATACCATTTCATCTCCTTCTCAAAAATTAGTTGACCATAGATAAATGGGTTGATCTCTGGGTTCTCAATTCCATTCCATTGATCTATGTGTCTCTCATTGTACCAGTACCATGCTGTCTTAACCACCATGGCAGTGTAATAGGATTTGAAATCAGGGAATGAGATACCGCCTACTTTTCTTCTATGTTTAAGGAGTGCTTTGCTTATTCGGGGCTTCTTTCCATTCCAAATGAAACTGGAGATTGCCTTTTCCATCTCCTTGAAGAATGGTTAATACTCCTTCTACAGTTAATAGTCTTCTACAATATTTATCCTTGTGGGACTGAGTTAGTTCACTCAGCATAATGCTCTCCAGTCCCTCCCAAGTTAGGTAATAATTTACAAAGTTATCGCTCCTGTGTGCTACAATAGTATTCCATTGTGTGAATGTAACATAATTTCTAAATTCATTTGTTTGTGGTTGGACATTTGGGCTGTTTCCATGTTCTTGCAATGGTGAATATGCTGCTATGGACGTTGGTATACAAATCTCAGTTTGTGCTTCAGCTCTCATATTCTTAGAGTATATTCCAAGTAGTGGAATAGCTGGCTTATATGGAATTTCTATGTTCAGCTTTTTGAGGAAGCGCCAAACTGCCTTCCAGAATGGTTGCACCATTTTACAGTCCCATCAACAATGTATAGGAGTTCCTTTCTCGCCACATCCTCTCCAATATCTATTACTTGCTGCTCTGTTAAACGTTGCCACTCTTACTGGAGTGAGATGGTACCTCATTGTGGTTTTAATTTGCATCTCTCTTATTGCCAGTGATTTGGAGCATTTCTTCATGTGTCTGTTTGCCATTCGAAAAATTCTTTCCATGTCTTTTGCCCATTTTGTAATTGGGTTATCAGTCTTTTTCAGGATTCCATAAACTTTTGTTTTAAGACTCTTGTCTGAGATGCTGTTACCAAATGTTTGTTCCCAGTCTGTAGGTCTTCTTTTCACCCTGTTGGGAAAAGGTTTTGATGTGCAGAGATTTAATCTTTAGAAGGTCCCATGCATCAGTTTTATCCTCTTTAGATTGTGCATTTCTGGTTGTACACAAGAAACCCCAATAACTCAACAAAAAACCTGTTAGAGTTAATAGTACAATTTAGTAGAGTGGCAGGATATAAGATCAATATCCAAAAATCAATAGGATTCCTTTACAGTAACAAAGAGAACTCAGAGACAGAATTAAAGAAAGCAATGCCATTTATAATAGCTAACCACAACTGAGATACTT